ATTTGTTTGCTCGGGTGTGTGTGTGGCCTCCATCCGCTGCCGTCGCCTGCCCTCCTTGCCCTCCTCCTCGGCCTCCCCGCTTAGGCCCTGTGCTCTTGCCTACTCTTGTTGAGAGAACAACATCGAGATTATCTCACACGCCCCTCTGCGGGCTGCCCTTTTTGCTTGCAGGTTGCTGCGACAACTCCACAAGTCTGGTGCGATCACCCTTCTCTCAAGACTCGTGCCATGCTCGCACACTTGACATATGCACTCGCCAATGATCCCCAGCATCGCCGCCGCCTCTTCACCCCCATGATCACCAGCCAGCAACCCTTGTTCTGTCTTTGGCTGCGATCACCCGCCTCCCCTCCACCACCCTTGACTGTCCTCCGCTGCTGTTGTGATTGAGAGTGTCCATTTGTGCTGCTGGTTGGACGTGTGTCGCTGATCATCTGCCCCATCCCTTTCCTTCCAATGGCTGCCCCGCTCCCCCCCAAAACAACACGTGCACATGACGATTTGCGTGCTCTCTCACTCCCTCACTCACTCTCTCCCTCTGCCTCACGCTCTTTCCGTCCCTCCTTCACACACACTTCTGCGCGTGTCCTTGGTGTGTGCTTCTTCTATTTCTTCGATCTTGGAGCTGACCGGGTCCGCATTTCTTCGTTGGCGTGGGCTCGTTTCTGATCTTGCTCGCCTTGTCACGCATGCCATGCCTTGCCTTCACCACCACCTCCAACACCAACACAGTGTTCCCCGACACTTGCATGCACCTCCATCTACGACCCCGCCACCCCCAACTGCTCGTGACCGCCATTGCCGGCCGTGCCTCACACCGCTTCTTTGCTTTTTGTCCTTGACCACCCCCCCCCCTTTCATCGCCTCTTCCAGTCCCATTTTTCAACCTGTCCTCCCTTTCCCGAAGACTTGTATGTTGTCGGCCCCGCGGCTCTTGGCGTCCCTCAAATCGCCTCGGCCCTTCCCACATGCCACTTCTCCTCACTCACTATCTCTCTCTCTCTCTCGTCGTTCGCCTGCTCCTTGGGCACATTTCTCGAGTAGACCAGCGACATGGCAGGAGTCACTACCGAAACCCCTGGCGACATGGCCTTCCCTGAATACAACGTGTGTTCTGCCTCGCGCAGTTCCTCTCTCTTCCCCCTGTCCCTTCCACCCTCATGGTGACATGCCAGCACCATCTCACCATCTCACCTCATTATGATCCCTGCTGTAGATGGACCCCGTGACCTTGGCTCGCTTCATCATGGAGGATGATCGGTAAGCTAACCTCTTTGGCATTGGCAGCCCGCCCGCAACTCCCGTTGGTCCTCTCACCTTGCTTCGCCGCCTGTACCCGATAGCGAGCGTCGCGAAAAGTATGGCACCACTCGCACCTCCCTGGCCTTTATCCTCCAGGCCATTGGCGTGGCCTCCAAGGTACTTTCTTCAACTGCCGTTGGCCTACACCCCATTGCTGAACACATTCACCTCACCCTCGACTCGGCTGTCTTCTTTCATTGCCATAGGTCATCGCCAATGCCGTGCAAAATGCTGGCATGCAAGGTCTCTACGGTCTTGGTCAGTGCTTGCCCCCGCATCGCAGCACGCCTTCAAGCCTCGGCATGCATGACCGGCCTTGGTGTCCTTTTTTTTTTTTCTGGTTTTGCTTAACATTTCCATTCACCTACTCGCCTCCCCCATTCCTCCCCAATACCAGGCGGTCAAGCCAATCAATCGGGTGAAGACCAGAAAAAGCTGGACGTCCTCGCCAACGACGTCTTCAAGAATGTCCTTCGTAACACCAAAAAGGTTTGTTTCGGCCTTCTGCCCCGAATACAAGGCAATGGCTTTCCTCAGCCCGGGCCGCCCATGCCATCCACCCGTCCTTAGGTGCGCGTAATGGTATCGGAAGAACAAGATGATGCCATTGTGATCGAAGGCCTAGACCACGCCCGCTACTGCGTCGTGTTTGATCCCCTCGACGGTTCCTCGAACATTGAATGCAACGTCTCCGTCGGTACCATCTTTGGCATCTATCACACTGACAACAAGAGCCTGGCCGAGTGAGTTGCCGTGGCCCATGCACGCTCTCAATCACTGCGCTAGCCACGCCTGTTCGTTACCTCTGCACCATCACCTTTCCCTCACATGCCCTCCTCCGCTTCCATCTCGGCCATTCTCGCTCGGCAGATTGGGTGACTGCTTGCGCCCTGGCCGTGAAATGGTGGCCGCCGGCTACGTCCTCTACTCCTCTGCCGTCGTCATGGTACTCAGCACGGGTACCGGCGTTCACATGTTCAACCTTGACCCGACCTTTGGCGAATTCATCGAGACCAAGGTTTGTTCATCTCCAAAGGGCCTTGACGGCAGATAAATCTGCTCTGTGCTGCTCGGCCAATGACCACTCCCACCATACACGCCCCTCCCTCACCACTTTCCCCGACTCCGACATAGCGCAACTTCCACATGCCTGCAGTTCCCAAGCTCATTTACAGCTGCAACACCGGCAATGCGGAGAAATGGGATGATGCCACAAAGGCGTACATGCGCTGGATCAAGGCCCAACCCAAGACCTACTCGGCCCGCTACGTGGGCTCCATGGTGTCCGATGTTCACCGGTGAGCACCATCGCGTTTCATTTTCAAAGCGCTCCGCTTGAGAATCGAGCAACTCATAATCATCCTGCCGTCTTGGACCCGCTCTCTTGGGTAAAACTCTTGAATCGCATGCGTCGTGCAGGACCATCCTGTATGGCGGCATCTTCTTCTACCCCGCTGACAAGAAGAACGCCAAGGGCAAGCTGCGCCTGCTCTACGAGTGCTTCCCCATGGCCTTTTTGGTTGAAGCTGCTGGCGGTGCGACCAGACACTTGCTTGGCTACCGCATGCCTTCTCCTTCACTTTCTTTGCACTTTGCGCCTCCTGTCTTGCGCGCGCTCTCATCATTCGTTGGCGGTGCCCCCACCACCTCCACGTGTACAGGCAAAGCCATCGATGGTCGTCAACGGATCCTTGACTTGACTCCGACAGAGCTACACGAGCGCAGCCCCATTTATCTCGGTACCGCCGACGAGGTTGACCGCGTCCAGGAATTTTACAAACAGCTGGATGAGGGCACCCTACCCGCGGCTTCGACCGACGGCCCCCTCATGGTCTAAGATATCACCTTCGCCATGCTGAACAATTGAAGAGAGCTGGTCCTTGGTTCCGAGCGCCCACTTCTTCCAATCATTTCCTCCGCCCTAGCCCTTTCGTGTATCTGGCAGAACTTGCTAAACCCTGTTGCTGTCTAAGACTGCCCCCTTGGCAGAATATTTGACGCCTTGCCTTGTTCATGTCTGCCTTTCCTTTTGACCAATTGATTCAATTTGCCTGAGAATCATCCTCACATGTCCAGCCAGCTCGTCAATGCCGGAAGTTTTTGTAAATCAATTTTTCATGTTTGAGTAAGTGAGGCAGATGTAACTCCCCTCGTTCACAACGCTCTGGCTCGTTGCTTGGGCTATACAGATCAGAGGCTCAGTGGTGCAGCGTGTGCATTGTTCAAACACTCACGCGCAATGCCATCACCAGCCCACAACCTTAAATCCAGCCAACACGAATGACGCTGTCATCCCAACCAGCCCCCTGAGACTCACACATGTACACGCACACAAAACACGTCTTACAACAGGGCTGAAAGCACTCGCTCACACACATTCACAGACACACTTTCAAGTGTATACGGCGATTGTAACACAACTATGCCCTGGTGAGCAGGACAGGAGGGGGGTTTCACAATGAGGCTCAGCCAACAACACGCTGCAGAAGACCTGGTCTCCTCAGAGTGTGCAGGTGTTGCGATGACTGGGCGGACTTAAACGGTAACGGGATCGTCAAAGATGGTGCACGAGCCAAACTGGTTCTCGAGGTTGCGCGCGGCTTTGCGGATGCACTTCTTGACGGCCTTGCGGGTCGCCTTGCTGTCGACGGGAACCTTGAATTCAGAGTCATCACCATCGCCACTGATGTGGCGGCGGGCCGAATCAAATTGACAATCATGGATGTCACACTTCTTGTTCAGATAGCGCTCAAAGGCCTTGGACACCTGCTTCTGCTCGCTCTTGTCCAAATCAAAGAAGGACTGGCCATTTTCACAGTAGGCAAAAAGCTTGGCCTTCTTCTTCAGGTTCTCAAAGGCTTCCTCACGCTCCACGTCCTCAAACATGAAGCACTCGCCCGACGAGCAAGGGTATGCCTTGAAGCAGTTCTGGTTGAGCGAGTCAGAGCAGAGGCTCACGCGCACAGAGTCGCATGCGCCAGCTAGGAAGAGGCAGTTTAACGGCAGCAGCAGGATGATGAGATGAGACAAACCGAAAATAAGCACGCCATGAATGGTCCTTCAAGGTGGCCACAGGCCCCAACTTACGTGTCTTTCCACTCTTGAACTTGAGGCCTTCGGAGAAGCCAGGCACCAGCTGAAAGCCAGCCTCTGCCCCCGACACGAGGTAAACATCGTCACCATCGTAGGCGTAGCTGGAAAGGAAAAATTCGTCGTTAAAAGCTTCGCGATCAGAACGACGCGTGGTGGCGGGTGCGGCCTGGGTGGTCGTGGTCGTGGGACGGCGAGTGGTCGTCGTGGTCGTCTCAGGTGCAGCCTGAGTCGTGGTGGTCGTCGTGGGACGGCGAGTGGTCGTCGTGGTGGTCGTGGGGGCCGCTTGAGTTGTAGTGGTCGTCGTAGCTCGGCGAGTGGTAGTCGTGGTGGTCGTGGGGCGCGTGGTGGTGGTCGTGGTAGTGGTGGGGCGAGTAGTGGTGGTCGTAGTGGTGGGACGACGAGTGGTAGTCGTGGTTGTCGTGGGACGCGTGGTGGTAGTTGTGGTAGTACGGCGCGTGGTGGTCGTGGTGGTCGTGGGACGGCGCGTGGTGGTCGTGGTGGTTGGCACTTCGATAGCAACACAGCGGCACTGCAGGCAGCCATCGCGATCATAATAGTTCTCGGGTTCGGCATTGGGCTTGCAGTTGCAGGGGTTGTAGGTTGGGCAGGGAGCCTCGGTAGTGGTGGTGGTGGTGGGGCGACGAGTGGTAGTGGTCGTCGTCGTGGGGCGAGTGGTAGTGGTGGTAGTGGTGGTGGGGCGACGAGTGGTAGTGGTCGTCGTCGTCGTGGGGCGAGTGGTAGTGGTGGTAGTGGTGGTGGGGCGACGAGTGGTAGTGGTCGTCGTCGTCGTGGGGCGAGTAGTGGTGGTGGTGGTGGTGGTGGGACGGCGAGTGGTTGTGGTCGTCGTGGGTACCTCGACAGCCACACAGCGGCACTGAAGGCAGCCGTCACGATCGTAATAATTTTCAGCCTGCGCATTGGGTTTGCAGTTGCAAGGGTCGTATGTAGGACAGGCGCGAGTAGGAGGCGAAGGGGCACGCGTTGTTTGAGCCGCCGCAACAACCGCTAGGGCCATCAAAACGAAGACGGCCTTCATGGCGCTGGTTTTGACCTGTGCTCGAATAAGCCGTTTGAGTCAAGAGGGTTGAGATGCGGGTGTTGGGCTGCGCCGTCGGTGTGACTTGAGCCTTGGCCGGGGGAGGAAGAAAATGCATTCCAGCGAAGCTAATCCTGGGCAGATTCATTGTCGGGGGCGAGTGGTTGAGGCAACCCCCGAGCGGATCATTGAAAGAGGAGCTCAAGCAGTGGATAGGAGGTCACGAGGTGGCAGGGAGCAAGCAACCAGCAGCGGGACGCCACGATGATTCATTGATGATACGTTGTGGGCATCACGTGCAACTGCTGGTCTCTGGCGCATGGCGACAACGAGTTGCCACCCGAGCAAACTTGGCAGTGAGTCAAGAAGGAGTGGGAGCAGACAGCCGAATCACACGGCACAGTCCAGTCAACTGTCCCACTTCTCTGCTGAGCTGCAGGCCCCACGGTCGCCCGGCTGGCTTCACTAGGCTCAACACATTAGCGCGCAGCCGGCCTGCTGTTGACGGGGCGTAAACATCTTGAAGATGCAAGGGAGTGGGTCGAGGGGCACTTGACCATGAGCCATCCAAAGAGGAAACACCTGTTTAGGCGGAGAAGGGCAGACCGCCGGTTGCCCGGGACTAGCTGGTGGCCAGCTGTGCCAACGCCGAGTCTCAGTAGGCCTGGGGGTCCAGTGCAAACAGTCGGCTTGACTTGTCGCTGGTGGAAAACAAAGAGCAAGTCATCAAGATGTTGTCAAAACGTCAAGGGTCAGGTCGAGGCGGTGGTGGCGAGACGGTTTGAAAGGGTGATCGGTGGGAGTGAAGGGCAGTGCGAACGATCAGTGGACATTGCGTGCTTGTCCCTTTGCAGTACAGCGATGATGAGAAAACCAATAGTGAAGCATGGCGAGCGATCTCATCGCCACGGGCAGGATGATGACGCGTAGTCAAGAATTCGGGACGATTGAAGAAGGTGACTGCTGTCTAAATCGACGGTTGGTGTGTGCGGTGTTGACAGAAGAGCGGGGAAAGACGACTGCACCACTGGTACTCAGGTCACGGAATGATGCATGAAGGTGAACCACATGCCTAAGCACCAGAGAAGTATTTATACTGATCAATCATACCACACACCTCGTGGCCAGCCTGGGGCTAGGGATTAGCTGGCTGGAGTCCTTCGCACCTATTCTTCTGCTCTTGTGGTCACGTTGAAAAAGGGATACTCGAGGAGGTATTGAGGGATGGCGACCGAGGTCATCGATCTTTGGCAAGATTGCAGGATCAGGGAGCAACGATCAGTCACACGTCCCCAAACAGCTGAATTGGATCTTCCGGATACGAGTGGAGCCATGACTGCTGTGTGGCCTGGGCAAGACTTGCTGGGCTGACCCTGGCGGTCAGGTTGGCAAAGACTGAGGTGAAGCTCACAAGCAACGATTTATCGGATCTCTCTGCTAGTTACGCGCCGTTGCTGGCCTGGACATTCAACATGCCGTGTCGGGTTTGTTTTCAGTCATCCATCATCATGCGTTGACTCTAAACGACACACACACCACCTTCTTCCACACCATGCACCCACCACACATACAACCCCCCGTACCACAGGCAAGTACGGTCATGGCCAGGTGTCCAAGTCTATGTGACTGTTGGTTGCTTGGCTGCCGTTGCAGTCACCCCCGAAAAAAAAAAAAAAGTCGTGATGTCACGCACTTTTTTGTGGTCAAGTCTTGTAACGGCTGGATGTCAGACGAATATGCATGTAAGCACGGCTGAGATTGGAAAACATGGGCAAGCTCGGGCTGGGCGCCGGCGTGCACCATCGCGTGTGCTGTGCTAGGCACGAGTGAGGGAGTGGGTCGGTGAGTGAACATGGCTCTGACGATGCGACACAGTTGCAGGGTAGGCTCGTGGGTATGTTGATTTGACCAAGCGGGATGGACGGGGGGCCACAAGGAGGCCATGGTGGGGACGAACATCCTCTTCCCACTGCTGGGCATGCTCTGTCCGGCCGTGCACCTTCCCGCGACCTTGGCTGTTCGTAAAGGATCAGAACTCCTGGCCAAAAGGTGTTGGGCCTGCGTTTGAGAGAAAGGCGGACAACCGAGAGGAGCTACTGCCAGGCCAGATTACACCCAAAACTCGAAATAATTTTTACCGAATTTATCGACAATTTCGAATGAATTCTTTCTAAAAGTTGTCAGTTCCCCTTCTCTCCGCCGATGGAGCGCGGTGTCTCGAGCACCAGCTGAATGGCCATGCTTGTGCACGTGCGTGCGTTACGTGCCCGTCTTGCCGTCTGGCATAGCACATCTGCCGTTTCACATGACGAACAGGTTGCACGCGATTCATCATTCGCATGAGCTCAATGAATCTAAATCATAGCGCCTACCACCTCTACCGGCGTGCATGTTTTAGATCTCTTGAACGGGTTTGGGTCTTGAATTCACAAGGTCACATTCGCTGGTATCACAAGGAGTCAATTCGATTATTATAACACCGCCCGTTCGACGCTCTCATCCTCCAGCCCACCCATGGCAACCTCGTCGTGCCGCTCTGCATCTGCCTCATCACCAACCAGCCGGCGCGAGGCAGCGGGGGCAAACTGCTGTTGGTATAGCTCAACAATCTGATGGGCCGTGGTGGCCTCGGACATGGTCTTATCCGGTCGTTCTCGAATAAAGCTACGCCACGACATGCCCCCCAAACAACCAGCCATTAAAGAACATGGGCACAAACGCATCTTGGTGTGCAGAGGCGCCAAGCAAGACCAACCGAGGAAAGCGCAGCGAAATGCCTGCTGCCTCACGCCCGGGCACAAGGCCGTGACCTGCCCGATGCACCGGGCTCACCGTCAAGTCAGCTCCACGAATCTCCCAAACCTACGGCGCGACGACAGTAAGGCACACAAACAAACGGCCACTGGTCGAGCACAGGCAACACAATCGGTGCAAAACATCGCGGTCAAGTCACATACCCGCACCGGCTCAAACCACACGGAGGGCGTCATGCTTTCAGCGACATCATAGTAAGACTTTTTCGCACACTGGTTCTCTTCGCGAGAATAAAATGCCGTCAGCTCCTTATAAAACTCATCCGTAAACCCAGACATGACCTAGTCCACGCGCGGAGACATTATCAGGACGGCCGGCCTGCCCTGATGTCTCATGCAGGACGGCTGCCTCTCCACCCGTCGACTGACACCAATGGTAGCACCTTACCTTGCACACCGACTCGAGCAACTCTGTCTCCGGATTGTAGCAGGCCAAGAGCAGAGGGCTAAACCACCCGGCCTTGCGGCCATTGCCCCACCAGCCGCCAATAACCACCAAATCAAAGCTATCGCCCAGACCTTCCAGATAATCCTTTTTCACCTATGGCACCAGCATCAACGCCATTGTCATTCACCAGACGTGTGATAGCTAGTAAGGCGGTCAGCGCTCAGCAATGATTGTGCGGAAGGGCTATGCTGAGCAATGCAAGCTCCTATGCACTCCGCCCCAACTTGCCTTGAGCCAATTCTCGCAGCGCTTGGACGGCTGGTATGTCGACAACGCCAGCGGATCGCCCACGTCATCGGCGGATGCAGCGGACCGCTTTCGCGCCTCTAGCGCACTCTGCAGTAACTCGTCGAGCCGCTGCACCAATGCCTGGTCCGAGGCAACCAAATCAGTCTCGGCAAGGGACAAAACCGGCCCGCGTGCCTTAATCATGAGTCCTTCGCACCTATCGTACCCACAGCAAAGCACGTGGATGAATGTCCCAAAAGCTTAGTTCATGGCCATTCGAAGGAATAACAACGTGGCAGTCCATAGCTCGTCTCTGCCTCGTGAGCGTCGTACTTGGCGTCCAGAGCCGCATGCAAAAATTTCCGCAAGTCTGATTCATCGTGCTCGCCTTGAGCATTGGGTACAAAGACTTGCTGACGCACCAAGTCCACTCGGTTGGGGACCGGCTGAAACAACTACAGCGCGAGCCATTGGTGAGGCTTACATTCACTTGTACAAGCACACAGCTGTGGGGCAGGGACTGCAACAGGCTGCAAGACGTCAGGTACCAACATGCTGAAGTAGTGCCGTCCGATAGCGGAGCGGAAGCTGCAAAAGTGGGCGGTCATCCAGCATCATGAGGTCATAAAGCAGCACCTTGACTGCCACTTGTACTTCTTTCTCGTTGACATCCTTTCGTCCACGGTTCATGAGTGTTTGAAAGGGAAGAATTTTGCCAGTGGCATCCACAGCCACGATCTCGGCGTCAGCCACGCAGGACTGCAAAGCCAAGCATCCATTTTCTAATTTGTCCAGCCTGACTGAGTTTGAAGCGCTGTGCCAACCACGGAATTGCAAAAGAGGCAATGCAATCTTGCAAGATCGGTCTGCACCTGGCGCACCCAGCAAGGAATATAGCGATATAAAATAGCAAACAGATTCAACGCACCGCGACTCAGACTCTCGAGAAGCGACGTGGTGGCATCGGGATAGCGTGTTGACATGTCCTCAAGGTGGCGGCTGAACATAAAGCTTTTTACATCCTGCAAGTGCGTGTGTGCAAGGTTAGCCAGACGCTCCCAAGCCTGGCATCGCAGCGTGCGTTCTCGCCACACGGACCTGGCGCAGCTTGGTGGGAGTTTCCAAGTGAATCTGGGCTCGACATCCATCATACTTGAAATCCGCCTGAAATTCCTTATGGGCAAGTCGAGTCATGACTTCGCCCAGGTCGCGCGTGATCTTGCCCAGCATGGGCTGTACAGGGATGCCAATGCGAGGGCCGCAGCGACGTTCCATTTCCTCAAACCCTCCCTCTACTAGCGCGCTACACATCATGTCGCGAGGTTGCAAACAAAAGATCACGATGAGATGCAAAAGCGATCACAGGCTATGGGCACTGAATGCACAGCCCCAGCCTGGGTAATTCTGTGACACCTGCAATTCTTTACACATGCTGCTGGGTAGGTCACAAAAGGGAGAGAGAGAGAGAGAGAGAGAGAGAGAGAGAGAGAGAGAGAGAGAGAGAGAGAGAGAGAGAAGAATACTCAAAGTAGACGCGAAACAACCATGACTGAACAGCACGGAGAACGACAAAGGGTGAGAGGTGCATACGTTAATATCGAGTCCCAACATGGATGTCGTGCATAACAGTCCTTCACACGCTGCGCAGCTTCCTCTTTGCTAATGGATGTCTGCGGGTGGGTGGGGGAGTGCAAGCCGAAACGATGAGATGAAATGCACGTAGGACGCTGTCAAGGGTTGCTTGAAAGAGCCGTCTAGTGAGCAAAACTACACAATCTCGCGGATTCGATGAACAAACCTGCCAAGCACCAACAAACGTGTGGGCAATAGCTGTCTGGATGGTCAGCCCCACTGCACCCGTGCGCAAGTTGGCTGATTTGTAGCCGGCGCCAGCAAGGTCATCAGGAAACAGCAACATGGTCGCGGTCGTGCAACCTCTACGGCTTCTTCGCAGCGTTAGCCAACATGGCTTGAAGCGTACCGATAAGAGTGCGGACGATGAAGCGGACTTCTGGGCCTTGACAAGCCACAATCAGTTTGCGCACAATGTCCTGTTTCTGGCGCTGGCTGCCTTTGCCCCGTAATCCTGCGATAGTGTGCAGGCTCCGAAATACCCCTGATCACCACCAAACACCAAGATCAGTCTGGCCATGCCGGCACAATTGCTTTCCAAGGGCATCGCGGCATGGACTCTCAAGCAAAGGCAAGCGAATTGAAAAAACAAAAACAAAAACCAAAACAAAAAAAAAGGAGCAAAAACATGTCAATAGCAAAGCTGTGCCCGCGCTCTTCGCACCGAGTATCGTTAACGGTTTAGGTTTGAATAGAGCTCGCTGGGTATGCAAGGCCCGAAACGCGACATCGCCCAAGTCCCCCGTCTCCTTGTAGTCTGAGCGCATGCGCCTTGGCGACCGACCAGACGCTTCAGCCACCACTGTCGCGACCAGTTTCTCTCCAAGACCGAGCTAGGTTTTCCCACCAGGATGAGGGAACTTGCAGGGCCAGCCATGGGCATCTTACACAGCATGCTCGGCAACACACCTCAATGCCGTGAAAAGAGGGCGCGATATGGTTGGTCGTCAGGTAGACGGCGGCAATGAGAACCTGTGGGTCGCCAATAGCTGCAGTCACACGTACGATATTGAGTCAAAAGCTCTCTTCCTTTGCTGCATGGCAACAATGTCAAGTCTTACGGTGTTTGCTGCTCTGAGTACGGCGCAAAACCGTGCGAAACGTGTCGGCCAGGATGCTCGTGATCTTGAGGCGGGAGCGAGTTGCAACCAGCTCTTCGAATGCATTGGCAAGGATACGGTAGTGAACATCATCACTTCCCACATTGGCGGTATCTGCCGCATCAGCTGGTGTAGCAGAGGCCACCAACGGCACGGGCGCCCGTGTTGGCTTGGCATTTGGAATAGGCGGTTGTTCTGAGCCGACGTCGCGCTCAGCTTCGGTGGGGGCCACGTGGTGTGAAGCTGTCGCACCAGTCCGTGGCGAGCTGGTGGCGGCGGCTCGTTGCTTGGCATTTTTGGCAGGTGGGGATTGGAAAAAGGTCAGTAACGAGGCTTGCTTGCGCTTGCCTGTGGGCTTTGTCTGACGCGTCGGTGAATCTGTAAGGTTAGTATCCTGGGTGCCGGGTTGAGCAGGAGGCGACGTCAAGCCTGACGTCTCGTCGAAGAAAAGATTGACAGCTTGGTCCAGCTCCCCATGAGCCCGCACCAACAAGCGGGAGGCGCCCGATTTCTGTGGGTGGCAAACGCGAGAAAGAACAAACACCAACGGCGTCAAGTAATGACTTTTACCGGCCCAGCCCAAGGACCAAATTCTATCAAGGTGCCAGCGCCTACCGTAAGAGCATGGGCACCCAGTATAGTGCGTAATTGAGCTATTTGATCCTGAGCAGAGCTGGAATCATCTTCCATCAGCGGAGAGGATGTCCCTGCTGTGCTAGCGGAATCCACCTTCATCGCACCATCACCGCGCTTGGCGCACTCGGGTTCCTCATCTTCGTCGTCCGAAAGGCAGATGGGCTCTCGTCCTCTATGAGCCGAGTCCTTGGGGCTACCATGAGGCAGAGCAGATCCAAGGCACGTATCGAGGTGGGTGTTCATTTGGGCGAAAGCCACGGGTAATCCACAGCTTGGGCACGGGACATGGTTTGAAACATTTTTCGGCGCTGGGGACGGCTGAGCCGCGAGCTTTTCCTTTTTGACAGCTGGTGATTGAGGTAAAGTCTGGGCCAGAGCCCCGGGTTCTGAGGCGCCGCATGCACGTTGCCTCGTTTGTGGGCCAAGCTTGCTATCCTGGCCTGCTGCTAAGCCAGGCTTATGCTCCAGGTCAGGGTGAAAGGGTAGCGCGATCTTATCATCACCGTTGCCTTTATATTTTGTGGGTGGATCAAATTCATCACTGGGCTCTTGCAGGTCTTGTTCAGAGGCGGTGCTGGCAAGGCTGGGTGTGGTGTCTGAACGTTGGCGTCGACGCAAACTATTTTGCCGCTCGCCTTGAATCATCTGGACGAAGGCGCGGGTCGCCTTGGTGCGATTGCAGAGGTCAGCAAACAGGGCGGTGACACGGCGGAGGCGCGCTTGCTTGCTCGTGTCGCGCGCTCCTCCCAAGACGGTCGGAACCACGTTGGTGGGCCGGATGCCAGACACCAAGGCGCGTAACTCATCAAAACTTGAGTGCTCCGAGTATGGGACTGTGTAGACTGTGACCTTGTTCTTGGTCTCAGCGGCATGCAAAACGGCAGGTCGTGCTGTCAAGTGTGCCCGAGCCTCTGTGCTAGCCTCAGCCAGAGTTTGGGCATGGGATTGAGAGGCTGTGATGGCTTGACGCTCGCGCACTGCTTGCGACAGCGTGTAGGTCCATCCAGTGGGGTAGAATGCCACAATGCGATCGAATCTACAGCAAAGGCAGGCAAGTTTGTTGGTCAGTGGCGCTGGTCGAGCAGGTGCAGGCTGTCTGGTTGCAATGGCACAGATAGGGAGGATTGGTGTACCGTGAAGCGTAAAAGTCGAGCATCTCATGAAGCTTGGGATAGTCGGGCAGGAAGGTCCAGCCACCGGGAGCCATGTTTCCCAGCTCGTGCCATCCGACAATGCGAACACTGGCCGCCTGCGTGGTGGTCACATGCGCCGGCTGCATCAGCGGGGACTTGATGTCAGCAAGGACGCATCACTCATCGGCCTACCAGATGCTCCGTTGTAAAGATTGTTTCAAGGTTGGCAATGGGAAGGCAATGGTTGAGCATTTTCCACTTGCGTTCCGTCACCTCCTGCAGGCGGAGCAGCACCGAGTAAGTTGCAGGCAGGGGAGTCAGTGGAGGGGTTTGCCCAGAGGCTAGAGATGATCAATCGACACCCACCACTCGAGCGCCAACGAGTTCGTGTGCGCGAAGTAAAATCTTCTCCTTGCCGATACTATACGTGGCCACCAGCACAAGGGTGCGGCCTAGTGCCGAGCAAGAGGAGCGATGATAGGACGAAAGGGCGTCAAAGACGGGGCAGCCAAGCATGGAAGAGAGGCCACACAAGAAGGGCGGACAACTTTGATGTGCAGAGACAAGAGCAAGACAGGAGGGCCCAACAACACCACTCACCTCGGTGGGCCTCCAATTCGGCGGCGATGGTGCGAGCACAGAATTCAATGGTATCTTCCTGTGGCGGAAACGTATACTTTGGGTTGGCGTAGGTCGTGTCCAGGTATAAATTTTCAATGTGGATGCCTGCGGAAGGGGGCAGTGATGTGTGTGATTGCGGGCTCGAGAGGGACAAGGCGGGAGTGAAGGCAGCTGTGGCTCTGACCTTGAAGGGTTGGATGATCCAGCATGCGTGGGTGGAACCGGCAATCGCCCGTGTGTAGATGATACATGCGCTGCTCGGGGGCGTGTTGGTTGCGCACCCCGAAGAGCAGCATGGCTGCGCCAGGACAGTGGTTGGCGTCCATCAACGTCACCTAGAGCGCAGGTTTTAGTCCGGGTGCGAGTTGATGGTGTTAGCGCGCGTGAGGCCTGACGACGGGAAGGTCGAAGAGTTGTCAAAGGCTTAGATTTGGAAGGCTCGGACCTCGACATCATCGATGGTATGGGTCTCATCGAACGGAAGCTCATGAATCCATTTGGGGTCAACTTCAAGAAAGTCGATCACAAGGCGTGCGGTGGGTGGGGACGCGTAGATGGGGCCCGCAGCCCACTTGTCATTCAAACCGCCATAGTGATCGGCATGGTAATGAGAGAGGAAAAATTTCTAGGGGCACCACCAAACGAATGCAATCAAGACAAACGATTGGGTACGCAGTCGGCAAGACCGATCTGCTAGTGCCAGCCGAAAAGCCCAGCCGAACCTGGCCTGCGGCGATTTTCTTCTTGTCGCGGAAGCAGTCCACCAGAAAGCCGGTGCCGGGCACCACGTTTGGGTCCAAGGAGCTCGCCATGGCGCCAAGAGTACGCTAAAAACCGAGTGATCAAGCAGACACACACACACGCATACATACTTCCACCCAGCAGCAGGACTTGTAGCACCAGTATGGCCTTCAAAACCCACCTACCCAGCCCGTCCTCATGCCTCCATGCCCCTCACCTCGCCCCCCTCCCGCTCACACATCTTGCAGCACCTCCCCAAATGAAACACAACAAGAGAGAGAGAGAGAGAGAGAGAAATGAATTGGTTTGAGAGAGAGAGAGAGAGAGAGAGAGAGAGAGAGAGAGAGAGAGAGAGAGAGAGAGAGAGAGAGAGAGAGAGAGAGAGAGAGAGAGAGAGAAAGCAAAAAGTCAGAAATAAAAACGGCTCCAGCTCCAAATTTATACTGACATGCTGACAATTATATGAGAGAGAGGTGTCGCGAGAGAGGGTTCACTCACAACCGTTTTGGTGATTTTGCGATTGGCCGTGTTGTGTCGGTGTGTGCTGGGCTGGATGTGAAGGGGAGGAGGATCGGGTGATCGCTGACGGGTGGGTCATGGTCATGTGACGTCGTGTGTGTGTGTGTGTGTGTGTGTGTGTGTGTGTGTGTGTGTGTGTGTGTGTGTGTGTGTGTGTGTGTGTGTGTGTGTGTGTGTGTGTGTGTGTGTGTGTGTGTGTGTGTGTGTGTGTGTGTGTGTGTGTGTGTGTGTGTGTGTGTGAGTGGGTGGATGGGTGATTGGGGTGGTGGGCCCTTTGAGAGGCTGACGGTGACGCCTCCGATGTGACTGACTGATCCAGGCTGAGCCTTGCCAGTTGTGCTCACAGATGCTGTTGTCATTTTTGCTTTTGTCCCACACCAGCCACGCACGACAGCGCCCATTGAGGTACACCGGGCAGGCACCACACGGGGTCAAGTGACAGCAGGCATGTGGATTCTCGTGGCGCTTGTGGTTTTCTGTGCCGTGGCTGCGCAATTGAGCGTGCTGCTGCAACAGAAATCAATCAGCCCGGACATTCCCATGATCGGTGGCGCGCTTCCGTGGATTGGGTAAGCCAGTGAACACCGGGGCGCCATACCGGCTCTCTTGTTGGCTTATCGTGCCTGCTTTTGCTCCCCTACTGAACCTCCCCGCCTTCCATCGCCCGCCGCCTCCCGCTTCACGCTCACCCTTTCCGTCCCCGCGCCTGACCCGGGCCATGGCCACGATCGTAGATGCGGTCTGCGGTTTATCAAGAATCCGCGACAATTCTTCGAGGATCTGCGCGTCAAGCATGGCGATACCTTTGGCATTTACATGTTTGGCTGTCGCATGCTCTGCCTCTTTGACCAAAAGGGCGTCGATCAGCTCTACCGTATGCGAGATGTCGATGCCTCCTTTTTTGAAGCCACCAAGGGCCTCCTCTCTCTCAAACTGCCGCCCGAGGTGAGCCCGGGCCCCGACGACTTTTTTGCACGGCGCATCAAACGCTCACGCTTACATCTGTGACATGCGCCAGCTCTTGCAGGACTCGTCCCTGAAAAAGTTCCACCAAGCCCTCAAGCCCAAGCTCATGCCCCATTACATTCGGTACGCGTCGAGCAGGAGATGCGTGTCATCACATTTGCCCTTCGTGTCCCGCGTGCTGCATATCCTTGTGCCTCTGCCGCTAGCGTCAGACGCCGATGTCGTGGCTCAACTATTTTTCCTTCTCCCTGACACTTACCTTCTGAACCTAACAGATATGCCCATGACGTTGTCACGGATCACGTTGCGCGCACAGTGCGGGCGGGCGAACAAACCGTCTCACTCTTTCCTTATGTCAAATCGCTCGTGCATAAGATTGGTGTGTGCACAACAGCCAGCTCAACGCCCCGTCCTTCTCAATCCTGCTTGATAAGCTAGCCTCACGCCATGTGTGGTCCTCATGCACCCTGCCCTTGATTTGAACAGGTCTAGCTTGCTGGCTGCATCCTGCTGCAAACTCACCCGAGCGCTTCAAACACATTGTTCAAGCCTACGAGCAGCTTGACCCCGAACAGGTATCAACACATTCATGAAACTCGACGTTAGTCCTGCTGCTCCAGGTGGCCCATCTCACTCTCGTTTGCAATCCTGGTCTTGTTCCTGGCTTGTCGGTTCAAAGGGGTTCGCCAATGGCGCCGAATTTCTCAAGACCATGCTAAGCGGTAAACGCGCTGAACGGCGCGCAATCGATGCGCTTCAGACTGCTGTTGCCGAGCTTTGCCAATCCCTGGGTACGTGTTGTATGCCTAGACTTGAGCTGCTCTGGCGTTTGCACACTTATGTAAGCTTTATGCTGGCGCATAGGCTTGGACAACGAGGAAGGCACCGGGCAGGAAGGTGGGGAGGCACCACAGGATGCAAGCAACCTCGTCAGCATGTACGAGGCTCAGCCAGAAGACGCCATGCCCTCTCAGCGCCACCGTGCCATCGCGACCAATCTCTTCCACTTTATGCTCGCGAGCCAGGCTAACATGTATGCCGGCATGGCTTGGACCCTGATTCATCTGTTGACCATGGCTGATCAGCAGCACCTGCGGCTCGTGCGCGCGGAAGTGTTGCATGCCCAACAAGCCCACGGAGAGGACTTTTTACGAACGCAAGCATCGTTGGATAGCCTTGCTTTCTTGGACGCTTGCATTGTGGAAACGCTTCGCGTGGTTCAGCAGTCCATCACCTTGCGCAAGGTCATGCGGCCGTGCACACTCCAAATGGACTCGGGATCAGCTGTGCTACCGCCACCGTGGTACCTTCTAACCTTGCTGAGCGTCACCAACATGGATCCCGCCACCATCGACCCCGCGGTGGCCAAATCCTCGGCGAACAGTCCACCAGAGTGCTTTGACCCCTTGCGTCAGTTGGAGCCGGCGAGCGCGGCCCGATGCTGTGAAACATCGCAGCTCATCCGCTGGGAGCGCGTGACGCTGGCGCGGCCTAGTCCCAACCCACTCACCTCGACCTTTGGGCACGGCTACCATGCGTGCCCAGGCCGAACTTTTGCTCTCAACATGAGCAAGATCGTACTTGCACAGCACATCCTGGCCTTTGACCTGGTGCCACAGTTTGAGCGCGCCACCGTTCCCGTAACTTCGGTTGGAGCACTAGCGCGCGTCGAGCACGATTGTCCTTTGCGCCTCATTCCTCAGGTGTAAATGACCAACAACGCCATTCAACCATGCTGGTGCGTGCGTGTGCATGTGTGTGTGTGCGAAAGAAAGCAAGAGAGAGAGTCTCTCGAGTCTTCATTTACAAATCGACCGACCGATATTAGAAGACCATCCGAGATGAGGGGTGTGCTGAAGTCATAGAGAGAGTTTGAGAGAGAGAGAGAGTTTGAGAGGGAGAATTTAAGAGAGACAAAGTGTACAACTTGTCACACTACACATACATCCCAACAGACTTCCTTTTCTCTCTCTCTCTCTCTCTCTCTTTTTTTTTTCCAAAAAAAAAGGGCAGCGCGCTGCATTGAGTTTTGGAATCATACTTGTTTTTGTGGATGTAGATGAAGACGTGCCACAGTGCGAGCGGTGGTGAGTAAGCCAATGTGTGGCTGCATGCATGACTGTGAATGGGACAGGAACGCACCTGGGGCTACGGGCGTGCCAAGTTGGCGTTTTGACCACTCCTCCTGTTTCTGATGCAGCGCAATGGTCACTCACCCGCCGTGATTCGACTGTGTCTTTGACGCAGCACTAGCAATCGTGGCTTCCAGCGTATAGGCAGCCGTGTAGTAGCCACTGCTTTCACGGGACTGGTGGTCAACGGTAAGTAGGCCTCGGCACATGGTGGCTGGTCTCGGGTATCGTCAGCTTCGGTGGAAGACAACGAACGTCACGGGCCATGGATCAGCCTTGCCATTCTTGACTTGGCTGCGAGCCGAAAGGCTTTGCTTGAAGCATCTCATGTCCTCTTTGTCTCTACATTCTTGCGCCATTGCCAGTCTACAATGACAGCTCCGGCGTCTGCACAGGAAGATTTGGCAGCTCAGGTCTGTGTTATCATGACCAAACTTGTGTTGCCTTCATTGGCGGTGTTGCCAGGCATCATCCCTACACCGCGCACCTGTGCCGGTGGACGCCTGTTCATGGCGCCTACGTGATGCCACCCATCCTCTGCAGCTGACCGAGGCCAAGAACAAGATCCAAGAGCAGGAAGATCGCATCGATGAGCTCGAGGACAGCCTCCAGGCGCTGCTCTGCTGCTTTCACGTGCGTATCGAGTCAAGGCAGGGGAGTGATGAAGGGCCGGAGAAGGCGTCAAAGCTACTTTGCTAGCCTGCACTCACAAACCACGGTCGCTCACATCCTTGCGCGCCATTGCAGGACTTGAGCGCGCAGATGGATCGCATGCGCGGTGGTCACAACACGGTGCGTGTTTTCATGTTGCTGCTCGATTGTGGCGCGTCTGCACCCGCTACTCATCTGGGCGTACGGCTTACAATGGTTTCGGGCCCTTGTTTGTGATTGATCAAACGACGCCACAGCGTTTGGGAAGTGTCAGCTCAACATTGGACGATGAGAGTGACGAAGTAGCCGTCCCCGTGTACGGCAGCTGTTTTGGCTATCTCAACAAGGTGTCCGGCGGGATTGGTTCCAAGGGCAGCAAAAAGCGCTGGTGTATTCTGCACGATGATGGCAACCTGTACTATTGGAAGACCATGAAGGCTTCCACCGTCGCATCTGCAGGTGAGATTGGAGCATGGCCTTTCATGCCTCGTGAATCAAGTCTTCCCCAGCCTAGCCGCTCGACTTTTACCACGATGCATTGCCACACAGAAAAAGGCGTCATTGATATTCGTGGATATGAAGTTGTGGCCACAGCACCACCCAAGGTAGGCTCCCCCGCTAGATGCGCCTGCGGCCCCATCAAGGGGGCCCCTTTCATTGGCCTTGGGCTCGTGCTCACTCGGACAATTGCATAGACGGGCTTTAAGCTCATGGGTGAAGGCAAGCGCAACTTTGAGTTTCTGTCTGATTCCGTAGCAGAGCGCCAGCGTTGGATCGTGGCGCTCACGACCGTGCAACAAAAGCTGGACCAGTTGCGCCTCAGCTCCTCTGCTGACAGTTTTGCGGGTCAGTCCTGCTGGGCGCGCCCCCTGCTCTCTGCTCTTCCTATTGGTTTCGAATCGCACCATCACTCGGGGGTGCTGTTGTTGCCTTCTAAAGAGCGCAAGATGACCATTCGCAAGATGAACTGCTCGATTCGTTCTGGGTGCGTTCCCGCTTCACCGGCTTGTTTTATACGCAAGGTGCAAAGAAGATCGCATCTGGCATGGCGGTGTCTAGCCATTAGCAGCTCATTGCGCAGGTGCTGATGTCCCTCAACGACAGGCGTACCGCGCCGGCGCCTCCGGCCAATGAGGAGCTCTTAAAGCGCGCCCAACATCACGATCGTAGGTCACCTGCACACATGATGATGCACAGACTGATGTTGGCTCATGGTGGTTTGGGGGATGATGGGGTCGCGTTCCCTTGTTTAGACGTGACGTGGGTGGACAACACGCACACGCAGTGGTCCCGGAACTTTTTGGTTCTGGCGGATGACAAGCTGCATTTTTACAATCAAAGGAATACAACAGCTGAATCCTTCACCCTCGATCTCAGCCTGTGTCCGGTCGGGCCCACCATCAGCATGGAGGGTGATTTGTTCACCATCAAGGTGAGACTCGCACGGCTCCAGTCATGACGTTGCCAAAAGGTTGGAGCTCACGTCATGGCGGTCGTGCAGATTTCGTTTCGGGACAGCAGTGAGTTTGTCCGCCTGGGCTTTTCTTCGGAGAAGCAATGCAACGCATGGGCCTCTGCGATTAGCGCGGCATGCGATTCGTCCTGTA